GGGGGAGGGTGAGATCTTCCGCGCTGCGCCGGAAGCCGCCTTGGAACCTAAACCCGGACGAAAAAGCACTCCCAAACATCAAGCGCACGTACGCATGCTCCGTCAGCCCCAGCAACTAAAAAACATCTGAAGCAGAAGGACTGAATCATTGTGGCCTAGGGTTTAGGGTTTACGCGAATTTCATGCCGGGGTCTTACACGGCTTAATTGAGGGCCCATGACTCCTAAGCCACAAGTCATAACTGGCGCAGCACCCCTTTCCTCCAGCGAGCTTCATAGCCCTAAACTTGCACCATTTGATTTCTTCAGTTTGGGGAAGCGGCAAGCGGCAATAGTATCTTATTTCTTTCGGTCCAGCGTTCAAATATTCGACATCTGTACATATATATATATATATATATGTATGTATATATATATATATGTGTGTGTGTGTGTTTTATCTACATATATATATATATATAGGGTCATGGCGGCCAAGATTATTCGGGCACCCAAAAGGGGACCATCATTTTGAGAACTGACCATGTCAACATATTTATATATATGTATATACATGTGCATATACATATACATAAATATATATATATATATACATAGCCTGTACATTCTGAATTCTGTACTGTCATCCCGAAATTTTGAAGCACTTGCTCCTTCCCAGCAGTCCATTTGCACCAAACGCCCGGGTACTATGGGAAACGGGTGCCTACAACCATACTTGGAGGATCGCGGGTACATACTTATAACCCCCAACTATCAGGGGGGCTTATATAAAGTACAGCTGTATAATACGGGTTACAAGTACCCCGAACCTCCAAGCATTACAAATGGACCCTTCTGGGCTTTGAACATCTCAGTCCCTCCAAGTGCCGCCCTGCCACGCAATAACCCTAAACCCTACACCATTTGATTTCTTCAGTTTGGGGAAGCGGCAAGCGGCAATAGTGTCTGATTTCTTTCGGTCCAGCGTTCAAATATTCGACATCTGTACATATATATATATATATATATGTAAATATGTATATATATATATATATATGTGTGTGTGTGTTTTATCTACATATATATATATATGGGGTCATGGCGGCCAAGATTATTCGGGCACCCAAAAGGGGACCATCATTTTGAGAACTGACCATGTCAACATATGTATATATATATATATACATAGCCTGTACATTCTGAATTCTGTACTGTCATCCCGAAATTTTGAAGCACTTGCACCTTCTCAGCAGTCCATTTGCACCAAATGGGAAACGGGTGCCTATAACCATACTTGGAGGATCGCGGGTACATACTTATAACCCCCCAATTATCAGGGGGGTTTAAAAGTACAGCTGTATGATATGGGTTATGAGTACCCCGCACCTCCAAGCACTACAAATGGACCCTTCTGGGCTTTGAACATCTCAGTCCCTCCAAGTGCCGCCCTGCCACGCAATGCCCTGCGCATCCATATCCGCCAAGACCTGACGCAGCAACCTAAACCCTCTAGAATACTTATAAGTAGGGTAATAAGTACCCTGAATACGGTCCTCACCATAGCGGCCGTAGTCATAACCCTACCTATAAGTATCCGTGAAGCATCAGGCAGTCCCTGTTGGGAGTCTGGAGTACTTGTGTACATAGATCCTTTTACATACGTGGTGCCGCATTGGCTGGGCGACACCGGCAAAGTAATTTACCCTAAGCCCGAAGCCCTAAACCCTAAACCCTAAACCGCTCTTCTGTTGGGGCCTCTGAGGGTTAGTCACCTCTTATGGGGTGGGGGGGGGGGTCAACAGGTTGGCTCTAGACCCTAATCCCTAAACCCCAAACCCCAAACCCTAAACCCTAAACCCTAAAACCCTGAAACCCTAAACCCTAAACCGTAAATCCTAAACCCTACTGAAAGGTACCCTACTGAACCTCCAAGTAGGGTTTGAGGGACTCCATCAACCCGGCCTGGCTTGTGGACGCAGCTGGGGCGGCTTCGGGCCTTGGTGAAAGGGGCGTTAGGTTTAGGGTTTAGGGTTTAGGGTTTAGGGTTTAGGGTTTAGGGTTTAGGGTTTAGGGTTTAGGGTTTAGGGTTTAGGGTTTAGGGTTAGGGTTTAGGTTTTAGGGTTTAGGGTTTAGGGTTTAGGGGGGCTTACATTGGTCACCGTGTGTGGAAGACGAGCCCCTCCATCTGCTGCAGGGACACATGGATAGAAAGCTCATGGAAGTCGAAGACGGAATTCGGCCCCCTCAAGCCACTACCGAACATTGGTACAGGCTAAACCCCAATGCATAGAGCCCTGTGCCCTACACCCAAAATCTTGAGAACCCTCCTTGAAAAGCCTCACACCTTAAATCCCAGAAACCTAAGCCCGAAGCCCCGCGCCCGAAACCCTAGTCTTGGGGATCGAGTGAGCCCTAAAATTGGGGTCATAGACCCTCTGCTACTATAATTCCTATTTCGGTACATGAACCATAATATCTAGACCCTACAAGCCTATACTACAATAATTCCGACCAGGGTACGCATGTGAACCATAAACCCTTTTAGGCTTCAAGGAAGGAGAACCCTAAACCCTAAACCCTGAAACCCTAACCCCTAAACCCTAAACCCTAAACCCTAAACCCTAAACCCTAAACCCGAAACCCTAAACCCTAAACCCTAAACCCGCAGAAGTGCACAAGGGAGCTTCTGAGCGCTTGGCTCAGCGGACTCGACTGCCTTCCTGTAGAGCTCGGCGAACTCCTTGGACTCACAGGGGGTTTAGGGTTTAGGGTTGAGGGTTTGGGGTTTAGGGTTTCGGGTTGAGAGTGTAGAGTTTAGGGTTTCGGGTTTAGAGTGTAGGGTTTAGGGCTTCAGGGTTTGGGGTTGTGCATGTCTACCCAATCTAGTGTGTAAAGTGTACAGCCGAGGTCACACCTCTATACCTTACATAGAGATCCCGCTTCCAAGGGGTAGTGCACAGATCTCAGGGCTGGTAGGGTTTACCCAAGAAGGTTTTCCGGATTCTTAGTAACAAAGACATATCGTTCGTTTAGTGTGCGCGCGGTGCGCAAACAACGGTCTTACACCAGCACACGGCAATGCACACCCGAATGGCCCAAAACCCAAAACCCAAAACCCAAAACCCAAAACCCAAAACCCTGAACCCTGAACCCTGAGCTTCTGTCCTGGGACGCGATGTAGACCACAGAAGTACTCTGCAGGAGCAGGGGGTTGTCCAAGCCACCCTCGGCAAGGAGGCCGGAGGTTTGTAGGTTCGGGCCTTATAAGATTAGGGTTAGGGATGGTTAGGATTCAGATAGGGTTTAGGGTTTAGGGTTTAGGGTTTAGGGTTTAGGGTTTAGGGTTTAGGGTTCGAAACCCTGAACCCTGAACCCTACGCAGGGGGTGAGGGTTTGGGGCTGGACCCTGCACCCCAAACTCTGCACTGCTCTGAAGCGCGCTGAAGGGCTTGCAGCGTTCTTGCACCCAGATGTCGAAGGATACTCTGAACCCTAGAGCCGAAGTCATAACGATACGATCGAAGCTAGTAGCTGGAGGGCCGGCAGCTCATATAGCCTGCCCTGTTGAACACGAATCCGAAAGACCTACAATCCTCAATTAGGGTTTTGGGTTTAGGGTTTAGGGCTTGGGTTTTAGGGCTTAGGGTTTAGGGTTTAGGGTTTCGGATCTCTAAACCCTCCGCCCGACCCAACGGCCTAAACCCTCAACTGCCTAGACCCTACCGCTCTGGACCCCCAAGACCTTCGATCTCGCAAACAGAAGGATCAACTCTGGCTTTTGGGGGGTTCAAGACATAACCCCCCCCCCCCCCCCCCCCGACCCCCCCCCCCCGACCGCACCCCCACCCCCCACCCCACCCCCACCCCCCACCCCACCCCCCCTCTCTGGAGTGGGGGACCACATGAACCCTAAAAGGGTTTATGGTTCCTTTTAAAGGAATTATAGTAGTACAGGGTATGTGACCCCTAAACCCAAAACCCTTAACCGTACACCCTTAACCCTGAATAGGAATTACAGCAGGGCTTCTGACCACCAATTTTAGGGTTCATTTGGTCCCCAGACTGCTTGGCCCCTTGGCAGGTTCAAGCATGCGGTCGAAGTCCAGCGCCTCGGGGGGGTTTAGGGCGTAGGGTCTTGGAAAATTCAGCCGCTTTCGGTTTGATGTGGAGGGAGAGCCCAAAGCCCGTGTATTGAGGAATACACCTTTCTTTAATCATCGGGATCCGATTATATATATATATATGAGTTGAGGTCTGTTCCTTCTTTCGAGGGCTTGTAGAGCTCTCGGCGGGCGGAGACACGCTGAGGGCTCCAAGGTGCTTATAGGTGCTTCAGCAAGAAAAATAAGGCCAGGTCTCAAAACAACGGTCTCTTATGGGAGTCCTCATCATAATGCGGACCTTGGCATTCCACCTGCAATTTGGGACCTTATTTGCGACGACATTTAAGAGTTTATGCTTCGAGGTGGTGTGGTGGACAAAACCTTGCACACCCTGCACCCTGAGAGGCTCTTTCCTACCCTACTCACGCCTTTCCCAGCCTCCAGTCGACCAAAGAAGCCTGACACCCTGAACCCCAAAATTCGACCGCCATCCTTGGGCACTGCGCAACAACCCTGGGAATGTGAGCAGGGGGGCAACAAAGTAACAAGCAGTGCAGCCCGAGGGGGGTGGTCGGGAGGTCCTGGCGATTCCCAAGAAAAGGGTCTGGGGCTTAAGTGCTGAAGAGTTGAGGGTTAACCTGGGATGGGGTGAATAAGGCTGAGGGGTTCATGCCGTCCTCCCACATGCAGCTGTTTGCCACATCCGGGGCGTAAAGGTGCGGAGCTGAGGGGTAGCCCTAAACCCTATAAGCCCTGAACGCTGAAAAACCCTCAACTTGCAATGTTCCGCGCTATACTAAGAGTCCTTGATCGGGATTATAGTGCCCCCGATTACAATCCCAGTTTCAAGGCTGCTAGCCGCACCCTCAACGTTCTGGTACCGACTGAGCCCCGCGCGATGCCAAGGTCATCCTCCGGGGCTACAAAAAATGGGGTTCAGGGCTTGAGTTGAGGGGATGGAGGGTTTAGGTTTAGGGTTTAGGGCTAGGGTGTAGGGTTTCGGGTGGAGTGTTTAAGGTTTAGGGTTTAGGGTTTAAGGTTTACGGTTGGGATTTAGGGGTTCGGATTGAGGTGTCAGACTCTGAATCTTCAAGCTGATTTGGGCTCTCATTTACTGAGGGGCTCTAGGTGATGTCTTTCCCTTAAGGTTTAGGGTTTAGGGTTTAGGACCCCAACACCCCTAAAACCTCTAAAGCCCTAAGCCCCCTAACCCCGGAAGCTTCCGAAAGCCAAGAGCCTGAAAAGCATGCAGTTGAACTTCTGCCTCCTCTGGGTTCAGCAGGGAGTTCCCAATGTTCAACAGCACGACGCCATCTGCGACGGTACTGGTGTGTTTTTGGGGTCTATAGGGTTCAGGGACTGCAACTGCAGTACAGTACTTCTTCGGGGTCACCCCTTCGGAGTAACCCGACATTGTCTCCACTGCTTTAGGCCTTCGGTTCTCCATTCTTTGGTTCAACGGGGTTGATCAGGAAACTTCAAGCCCCTTTAACCTTCAAAGTGGAGGGTGCCGATGGGCTGGCTGAGTCAGACGAGGCGTTATCGATTCCAACGCCAACCCTAAACCCTAAACCCCAAACCCGGAACCCCAAACCCCAAACCCCAAACCCTGAAATCCTGAAATCCTGCTCCGCTCAAGTACACAGGAACATGGGAACTAGAAGGGCAAAGGCCCTGAGAGTGTGCCTACATTCTAGACCCAAGAGTGAGCCAGGAATGAAAAAGGTTAAAGGTTTGGGGTATGGGGTTTGGGGCGCCCTTCTTGGTTTGAAGGGGCTTATAAAAAAGGGAACAAGGGCCTCCTCCGGGTCCTAGCATTTCATTGAATACCCAAGCCCCGTGATCAACCAAACCCCACAAGCATGCTCCAATTTTAAACCGTAGCGCCCTAAAGCCTGAAGTTTAGGGTTTAGAGCAGAAGTCCCAGCTTAGTCACCCTTGCTTCGCTTTAAGCAGCGGAGGCCGGAGGGAGGGGAGCGCAGGGAGTGGTACTAGGGAGCCCCATGAAGGTGTCTGCAGCCTTACGCTTAAAGTCGCAAAACGAACCCGCCAAACCTAAAACCACTAAACCCAAACACTCAAACCCCAATTCCACAAAACCAACAGAAAAGCTCTTGAAAAACCCTAAACCCTAAACCCTAAACCCTAACCCCGAAACCCTAAACCCTAAACCCTAAAGTTCCCTAAAGTTCCCTAAAGCCCCTAAACCCTGAAGCCCACCGAGTCTCAGGGCTGGGACATATTGTGGGATCTGCGCGGGGGTTCCGCAGGCAGTCGGAAACTTGGGCATTGAAAAGCTTGCAATACCAGGTGTAGGGTTTAGGGTTTAGGATTTGGGGTTTGGGGTTTGGGGTTTATGAAAGCGCAGGGTCTTATTGAACAAGCTTGACGCCAACAGCTCAACCCAACCCGCACACCCAAAGCAAAACCACTGACACCCCCAAACCCTTCAAATCGATAAGCCACCACCGCAAACTGCTGAACACGAACCTGAACCCATAACCCAATAGCGTCAACCCAAAGAAACACAACTCCTAAGCATTGCCTTTGGCTTCGCGGACGCTGATGCGCCCCAACGCTTTGTTGTAGGCTTCCATCTCGGGTTGGTGTTTGGGGCTTGGGGGCTTAACCCTAAACCCTAAACCCTAAAACCTAAACCCTCAAGCCTTTGAGGGGCTTTAAGGGGCTTTTAGGGGGCCGTGGGTCTTCGAGCGCTTGATGGGGCTTTAGGGGACTGTACTTAGAGGTTCATGGTGGTTATTAACCAATTATAACCGTACTCATAACTGTACTTATAACCATATTAGGGCACTCAAGGGGCTGATAAGTGGGCTATAAGTACAGTTATGCTTGGTTTATGAGTGCCATGAAGCCCCTAACCCTAAACCCTAAACCCTAAACCCTAAACCCTAAACCCTAAACCCTAAACCCTAAACCCTAAACCCTAAACCCTAAACCCTAAACCCTAAACCCTAAACCCTAAACCCTAAACCCTAAACCCTGAACCCTAAGCTAAAGCCAAAACCTCCAAGTAGGGTTATACTTGGTTCTCCAAGTAGGACTTCTAGGGTCTGGACTTCCAGGTCTGCTTTTGCGTGTTTGGATTTCGGGCCTTAGGGGTTTCGTGTTTAGGGGGTTTAGGGTTTAGGGTCTTGGTTTAGGGTTTAGGGTTTAGGGTTTAGGGTTTAGGGTTTAGGGTTTAGGGTTTAGGGTTTAGGGTTTAGGGTTTAGGGTTTAGGGTTTAGGTTTTAGGGTTTAGGGTTTAGGGTGTAGGGTTTACGGTGTAGGGTTTAGGGTTTAGGGTTTGGGGAACCAAAGGCCGAGGGACTGCAGGGCCACAGCCCTAGACGCCCAGACCCAGAGATTCTCGGGCTTTCTAGGGCTCAGGGCTTGTAAGGTGTAGGGTGTGTGAGGGGGAGCATGTCACCGGCCATAGCGGTTGCGGGTCTAGCAGTTCTTAGTGAAGGAACCGAACCCAATGGAAGCCCGCGCAAACTGGTTTCTAAAGGCCCTACCCGGTTATGGTGAACTAGACAACGTGTACTTGGAGGCTCAGGGGTGCTTACCAGCAGAGTGAGTAAGGATAGCTATGGTCAAATCCTCATTTAGGGTATTCTAAACCTACTTAGAAGTATCCATGAAACTCCAAGTAAAGATTCGGGCTGCTCAAGTTAACGAAGCTATGAGGACGAGGATGTGACCAGCGGCATATAAACCCTGTAACACCTGTAAACTCTATTAACCCTATACACCCTATACCAGCACCCTATACCCCTATAAACCCTGTCAACCCGATAAACCTTATCAACCCTACAAACCCTATAAACCCTAAACCCCTATACACCCTCCCAACCCTTGCAAAGCATAATAGTCCCCACAAACCCTACAATAAACCCAAAAACAAACCCTCTATAATGAGCCCTATGATAAACCCATAATAAACCCTCGTAAAGCCTACAAACCCTGTCACCCTCAACCCTATAACCCTAAACCCTATAACCCTAAACCCTATATGAAATCTAAACCCTAAACCCTACAAACCCTACAAACCCTATAAGAAACCCTGAGCCCTCAGCCCTGTACCGCTCAGGTGCAGGCGTAAGGGCTGAGGACTCCAGCAATTTTGCCGCCTCCGCATTCAGGTACCGTGGGCCGCTGGGTTTAGGGTTTAGGGTTTAGGGTTTAGGCGTTAGGGTTTAGGGCTTAGGGTTTAGGGTTTAGGACTACGTCAGAGGTTTTGGGCTTCTGGGCTCTAGTTTGTCATAGGGAAGTAAGGAAAAGTTGCCTCTTTGATTGCCCTTTGTCTAGGGGATTATATCGGGTATGGTGCCGAATTCTTTCTTTGCGCTAAGTTGGGCGTCGTATCCACTGCATGCAAGGCTGTTAAAAGGATCATGGAACTAAAGTGTATAGGGTTTAGTGGTGTTTCGCTAGCGAGACGCAAAAGAACAGCAACCACGCGCCCATACTGTCATTCCGGGCCGCGTGAGTTCTTCATATACCCTAATAAAGACATACAGCTTAGGTCCCTGGACCTGAAGTAGAAGTTGCTAAATGGATTCGAGAAGCTGTCAGGCTTCCCTAAGATTCTCTCAACCCTCTAACTAACCTTCTAAGCCTGTGTTGGCCGTCTGAAGCACGCTTGCTTGAGGCCACTGGGCCCTACGACCAAGAAGTTCTGGCTGTAAGGTTTGAGATTCTGGGTGTAGCGTGAACAAACCCAAAACCCCAGAACAAATGTAGTGCTACTATGGAACTACGTGTTGCTGTCACCGTATTCCGTCATGGTACCACAAATGGACCCTCTGAACAACATCATCTTAAGCCAACTCAGGGACGATGCAAAGTGTAACAAGGGTCTAACTCATTAGGGGCTTTAGGGTTTAAAGCCCTCATCCCTAAACCCTAAAGCCTAAACCTTTAACTCTAAACCCTAACCCTAAACCCTAAACCCTAATCCCTAACCCCTAAACCCTAAACCACGTTTAGGGCTTAGGGTAGAAAGGATGCCCCGGAGCCCCTGAGAAAGTATGCTTCGTGCGCAAATGTCTACTGCAAGGGCGCTTCTGATTAGAAAGCATGGGTATGTCGCACAGTTAAAAATGGTAGATTCTGACAAGATCAGAAATTCCAGTCCATAAATATACGTATATGTATGCAAGGATTTGAAGGGCGATAAGATTGCAAGTTACCAGGTTGTTGGGTCCACACGTTTCCCCTCAAACCCTGAACCCTACAGGGTTCAGCCGCGTGGCAACAGGTGGACATGGAGTGATGGGCATCGCCGATCTGCCGCCGGCGGTACACTCCGAACCTGGGGGGGGGCGGGGCGAGGGCCCGTAGGTAGGGGCTCGTTTAGGGTTTAGGGGGTTCTCGGCGCTTGGGGTTTTAGGGTTTCGTGTTCATACCCAAACCCACAGGAAAATACTTGGCGAAGTTGAAACTCTGTCAGGGTCGAAGTCACAAGCAACCGAGAGAGAAACAGATGCCCCTTCATAGGGTTTGGGTTGAAACAAGGCTTATTGGGGCTTAGGATGTAGGGTATAGGGCTTAGGGTATCAAGTATGTTGGCCTTGAGACATTCTAAAAAATGATCGTGAACAGAACTTTCTAAGTCCCAGAAGGGCACACATCCCAAAGGCCTACCCCGTCTCGGCCCGCCCTTCAACACCCACGCACGATGTCGCTTAGGGCTTTAAGGTTTAGCACCCTAAGCTCGAAAGTTTTAGTTTTAAAGTCTATAAGAAGACGATGCATGCAGCGGTTTGCAGCAGGGCGCTTGCAAACTGCAGCTACTCAGCTACTCCAGGGTGTACAGGGGTTTAGAGGCTCTATGGGTAAAGTCGCTTGTCGCAGCTGAGGACGTGGCTTGCCAGCATCTGGGTCATAGCCCACGTGCGGGGCGTGAATGATGACCATCTCGGTATGGATGCTTCGTGCCGAGACCCGAAACCCGAAACACGAAACCCGAAACCCTAAACCCTAAACCCTAAATCCCTGTAACCCGTATAAACCCTAAACCCTGAACACTAAACCTTAAACCCTAGAGTTGAAGATGGTCTATGCATGGCCCCCTTTAGGGTTTCGGGTTTGGGGTTTAGGGTTTCAGGGGTTTGGGGCTTAGGGTTTAGGGTTTAGGGTCTAGGGTGTAGGGGTTTAGGGTTCAGGGTTTGAGGTTTAGGGGTTTAGGGGTCATCATATCCCATCCCAGGAACATCTTCGCCGTGGTGGGAGTGAGGGCCATGACGGTCCAGGGCCATGATGCCACCTCCAAGGTTTCGAGGGTTTTTTTTGGGGGCTTCGGGTTTTGTTTAGGGTTTTAAGGTTTAGGATTTAGGGTTTTTAGGGTCTAAGATTGGGGTTTCGGGGTTTAGGGTTTGAGGGTTTAGGGTTTGAGGGTGCAGGCTGCCCCGGAATCAGCCATCCTGTCCCCCTGAAGGCGTAAGAACCCTCTGAAGCTCTCTCGGCCCAGCAAGTCCACGCCAGGCCTAGGTAGCCGTGCGTGAAAGGGTAAGCACCTGAGGCACGCTCCCAAGGGAAGTTACCCTGGTCCCCCAATATGGGATCTTACCTCGGGCACCCTTTTATGTGATCCTTCGATACCCTGTAAAACCCAAGGCCCCATGCTTCAGCAACCCGTTAAAGGAGGTCAGGCACCATACTAAGGGAGCATGCAACTTTCCCGGCACGCGGTTTAGGACTTAGGGCTTCGGACTAGCGCACATTCGCCTGCTGAGAAGCTAGGATTTCAAGGATGGTTCTGAAAGGTGTAAAGAAAGGGAATGTTCGGCTATAAACCATGTACTTCCAAGGGCATGTTCACAGGTTGGGGGGGGAGGGTGCCTAGGGTTTAAAGGCTTGAAAGGCGTAGTGCAGTCTGGGCTTACAAGCTTGTACTTGGGGCTTAGAAGGTCTCAGGCTACTTGACCCACACACACACACCCACCCCAAGAGCATCAGCTTGGGAGGTAAGGGACCATGTTAAGGGCCCATGAAACTACCCTAAGAGAGCCCAAAAACCCAAACCCTAAGCCAAAATCCCCAAGCCGCTGCGCTAACGTCAAGTTACGGCAACAAGGCAATCATCTTATTCAACTTTCTGTTCTTCTTGTTATATACACATTCATACTTTGGTATAAGAGCGAGTTCCTCAACAGCAAACCAGTCAAGCCCTACATGCCTATGTAAATCCCCAAAAGACACCCCAAACCTTAAAACTCCAAACCACACCCCCAAAGACTAAAGCAGCTTAAGCCCCAATCCAGCAGTGTCACAACGACTTCTGATGGTGGCCTAACATTGCCCGCAACATTGAAGGCAGCAGGGTAGGCGAACTCAAGGTGCAGGCCGATGCTGGCCAGGATCATTGCTGCTCCCACCGGCCTCGACCCCTCCTGCATGCCGCCTATGACTTGGTCAATTGGGTCGACGACGCTCAGCTACCCTGCGCTGCGGAATCCTCCAAGTAGCATGGCCCTTTGCTTGCAGGCTCCCACTGGACACCATGCAGTACTCGACCGCGTAAAGTGTGTCAGCATTGCAGTTCATCGAGAAAAATGTGTAGGATCCGGAGCTGAACCCGGCCTTCGCAAGCCCCCATCAACCTTGGCATGACCCTTTGAAACCCAATAAGGAAATAAACCCCAAACCCTAACGCTAAACCCTAAACCCTAAACCCTAAACCCTAAACCCTAAACCCTAAACCCTAAACCCTAAACCCTGAACCCTAAACCCTGAACCCTATCCCAAGGGCCCAGGAGCCGGACAACCCCAGAATTCCCCCACGGATGCACCCCCTTACACCCCCGTACCCCTCAACCCACCCCCCCTTACACCCCCCTAGATCCTAAACCCTAAACCCTAAACCCTAAACCCTAAACCCTACTCCCTAAACCCTAAACCCTAAACCTAAACCCCGCCCAAGCCCAAGGGGCCGAAATGCTTCGTGATGATCATGGCTGGAAAGCCCTGGTTCTCGTCTGCGCCTGAGAGAGCTCTGATTTTCGTAGGGTTTAGGGTTTAGGGTTTAGGGTTTAGGGTTTAGGGTTTAGGGTTTAGGGTTTAGGGTTTACGGCTCAACTTGAAACCCTAAACCCCAAATCCTAAACCCTCTTGGCTGCACTTAGGAGGGTAGCTATAAATTAAATCTTTCGCTGCCTTACAAGGAAACCCAATAAACCCAAAAAGGCGAAGGATCTAGAGTTACAGTAAGCACCACAAAGCCCTGAGCTCCATTTGCGTGTGCTTGGAGCAAGTGCATGTTCAGCAGGCACGCCAAAGACACCAGCTACTGACTGTTGATTAGTAGGGAATTGGAAAATGAGGTACCCTAAACCCTAAACCCTAAACCCTCATAGGACCCTAATTCCCTCATTCCCTGCTAACCAACAGCAAAGCTAAGCCGCGGACAGAAGCCGATCGAGGGCATGATCCGTCCTGAACGGTGCAGTGGTTAGGGTTTCGGGCTTAGGGTTTAGGGTTTAGGGTTTAGGGTTTAGGGTTTAGGGTTTAGGGTGTAGGGTGTAGGGTTTAGGGTTTAGGGTTTAGGGTCCTAACTCTGCCATCCGTGACTTCCAGCCCTACTCCTTCACACTCCCTCAACACCTTCAACCTAAATCCTAAACCCTAAACCCTAAACCCGAAACCCTGAATCCTAAACCCTAAACTCAAAACCCCAAGCCCTAAACCCTAAAGCCATATGCAGCTTGTTGTAGGGGGGGGTTCATGTGGGATAGGTACCTAGGGAAGCTTAGGGCGAACCTGAGGGAGCCTTATGGAGCCGCTGGAGTAGTGGGGAGTATTAGGGAACCCTGAGTTGCACACCCCTAAACCCTAAACCCTAAACCCTAAAGCCTAAACCCTGAACCTCCCTTGAACCCACTTCCCTTAAGGACCCTGTTAGCATGGTCTCGGGGGGGGGGTGGGGGTACTTCCATCGCAGTACTACAAATGGTGGCTCCATGGTTCCTAAGCCCCAAATCCTAAACCCTAGACCCTGAACCCTGAACCCTAAACCCTAGAGGACTCCTTTGGTCATGCCCAGTCCACGGCAGAAGTTGTACAAACGAGGCACGAAGTGGCTAAAGCCTCAGGACCACAGTTCAAGAGTCTAGGATTTGGGGTTTAGAGGCTAAAGCGTTTAGGGTTTGGGTTAAGGTTTAGGGTTTATAAGAGTTTAGGGCTACTTGAAGGTTCATGGGTACTCACAGTAGGTTTTAAGTACCCTACATGAGGCTAGAACAATAGTTCACCTTCTTCTAACCCTACTTATCACCATCCATGAGTCTCCAAGAAGGCTGTAGGGTTTGGGTTTTGGTGATAGTAAGAATATACGCTGCTAGTGACAGTGATGAGGATTACAATCTGGGACATCTGATCCCCAATATGGGGAGCCTTTGGTGGGCTCACTCCCTATGAGAATCGGGAGCTTTGTGTTTAGGGCAACTGTGTGAGATGCAGGGGACCCGGGGACCCAACCCTAAACCCTAAACCCTAAACCCTAGACCCTAAACCCTAAATCCGAAACCCCAATTCTGAATTTTGGTCCGGCCGAACCGAATCTTGGAATTGGGATGCTGCTTCTGTGCATGTATTGCTGGACTTGAGTGCCTTCACATCTCATGCCGAGACTCACTGCCCTCTGCTCAAAGTTGCAATTTATGGTTTAGGGCCGTTTAGGGTTTAGGGTGTAGGGTTTAGAGTTTAGGGTTTAGGGCTATACCTCCAGCCGGCTGCTGTGCCCTTCGCTGGGGCCATGGCGCATCAAGACCATGTCAATGGACACGTCGCCTTCACGTGTCTTCAGTCGGAGGGCATGGTGTCCCTAAACCCTAAACCCTAAACCCTAAACCCCTTCTAAAGGCTTATGCTCCCCTCGAAACCCGAATACATCTTGTCCTTGTCATACCCTTGCTTGTATCTTGTAAGTTCTGAAGGAGACTATAGACTGTAAAGGCGGGGGTTCAGTGTTTACTTACCAGGATGGTCTATGCTACCCTATAATCCCTTAAAAGGCCCTTTATAAGGTTCATTCTGGGGAGTTTAAGGCCTAGTAGCCCATCCTGGTAGGGTGGAGGACTTTGGGCCCGTAATCCCCAAAGCGGGAAGGTGACCAGGGCGATCTCCGGGTGTGTGCCTTCCCACAACAGATGGCTTTTTGAACCTCTTCCTTTACAGATGGGGCTGTAAAGCCTACAGGGGAACGTTCGTTTTGAACCTAAGCCGACCTGGAAAGAGGACCTGGCAGCACACGACCATTGAGCCCTTATCAGCAACAGGAAGGTTGAAAAGCATTTTTCAAATTGCATGACACTCCTGGTAGACTCCGAGGCGGATATCGGTCACTCCCCCCAAATCCCATCCGTACTTTGCCCAGGCGGACTCAAGCAGCGCCAGGTAAAGGCAGTCCCGAACCATGGGACTACCTTCCGTTTCAAGCCACGCTCCCTGAGGAGCTCGTCCATATTGCGGAGAACGTCCTGATACTCTTGAGCATCAGAGAGGATTTGCACCAGCGCCTGCTGGAGCATGTCTTCCTCTGTCAGGCCGAAGCTTGTGTGCAACTTCCGCTGGGTTTAGGGTTTGGGTCTTTAGGGTTTAGGGTTTAGGGTGATTTCCTTACCCTCAAGCTGCCAGAAGCCCTCAAAGCTAGCCGCTCAAACCTCCGGCACGAATGAAATGGTAAGACACTCGACCGTACATGAGCCAGAAAGAGACGACCAACACCCACAGCAGCAAACAACTTCCTATAAGCTATACCTAAACCCCAGCCCTAAACAGCCTAAACGCTAAACCCGAAGACATATATATACATAGAGAGAGAGAGAGAGAGAGAGCACGATCTCGCTGGCTCCCTCTCTCTCTGCACAAAAGTCTTGGCAGACCCAGTCTACACACAACAACAAAAAAAACACCCTTGG